TATTTATATCCAAATGAACCATTTAATCAAAAAGATGAGAGTGATGCTATTGCTATTCTAGTTGTTGGTCAAACAGGAAGTGGAAAAACTACATTATTGAATAGTTTTGTAAATGCATTATATGGAATAAAAATAACAGACGACTTTAGATATATAATTATAAATGAAGATAATTTAAAACAGAATAAGGATCAATCTATAAGTCAAACAAGTCAAGTAACAATTTATAATATTAAAAGAACAAAAAGAACACCACCAATCAAAATAATAGATACACCAGGATTTGGAGATACAAGAGGAATTACATGGGATATAGAAATTACTAAACAAATAAAAGAGGCATTTGAAACAAAAGTATTAGATTTAAATGCTATTTGTTTTGTTGCACCATCAAGTAACGTAAGACTAACAGCGAGTCAAAAATATATATTCGGGAATATTATTGATTTATTTGGGAAAGATGTGAAAAAGAATTTTATTGCGATGCTTACATTTTGTGATGGTAAAAAACCACAAGTTATAAATGCATTACAATCAAAAGAATGCATTTTCAGTACAATTATTCCAGAAATAGATAACCCGTGGTATTTAAAATTTAATAATTCAGCTATTTATGATGATAATACAGAAGATGAATTTACACAAATGTTTTGGAAATTAGGTATGAAGAACTTTGATGACTTTATAACAAAATTACTAAACCTACCAAGAATATCATTAGAGAAATCTAGAGAAGTGTTGAAGAGAAGAGAACGTATTAAAGTTCAGCTTGAAGGATTAAGAACATCATTAAACAATGGTTTATCAAAATTGGATGAAATAAAACAGATATATGAACAATTCTATTTAAATCGGGATAAAGTTAAAAATAATGAAAATTTTACTTTTACTGTAAACATAACGGTACAAAAAAAGATTGACTTAGAACGAGGAGAATATGTAACTAATTGTTTAAAATGTAATAAAACGTGTCATTATCCATGTGGGATTGCAGGAGATGTGAAAGATGGATGTGCTTGCATTGATAATGATTATTGTAATGTATGTGGTTGTCATTATACACGACATGCAAACTCGAAATATAGATTTGATTATGTAATTGAGAAAGAACAACAAACAGCACAAGAAGTACTTGAGAGATATAATGAAGGTAAAAAAGGAATGGCTAGTGCAGAAAGTATGTTAAAAAAGTTAGAAGAAGATTATTACAAAATTCAGATGGAATGTTATGATAAAGAAGTAGAAATTGTAGAATGTATTAACACATTATCTGCAATAGCATTAAATGATAAAATTACAGGGTCAAATGAATATTTAGACATAATGATTCAATCAGAAAATGATGAAAAGAAAACGGGGTATAAAGTACGAATTGAAGGATATAAACAACTTAAACAAGCAAATGATATAATAGAAGGTATTATGAAAAAATCAACAACAAAAAAGAGTAAGGATGAGATTAAGGCTGAGCTTAAAAGAAGAAAGACAGATTTAGTTAATGGACAAAAAATAACATTAGATAAAAATTGTGAAGGTTGTGTTATTTGCTAAAACCGAATAACCAAATGAAAGTTTTAATTAACTGGTTTTAAAAATATTTGTTTAAATAGGTAATAAAAAAGATAAATAATATTGATTATTATAGTCAATTGACTTCACTCAATCTAT